AGATAACGATCTCCCTCATGAATTTTAGAACACTTTCATCTTCTAAGACCTCTGCACTCCTCGGCCGTCACCAATAGCTAAAGTGACTGTGTAGGACCTCTCTTTGGCGGCTAACATCCTTTGGTGACAGCTTCATGCACTCCTTTCTCTCTTCTCCTGGCCTGGACTCTGTGAATGTCAACTTTTTCAGATGGGGCCATGTCTGCACCCCCTCCTTGTCTGGGGTGAGGGTCAGAGTAGCTGTCTTCAGATGAGGAATCACCAGAAAAAGGGAGAAAAGCCAGGCCACAGTGCTCCAGAGGCCACCGGCTCTGCCGGACATGTCCAGAAAACTAAAGGCCTTTTCAGCGTCTCCCTCCCCGTAATTGCCTTGTGCTTGGAAACCTCCAGGCACATTGACCCTCCGTTCCTCCCCTGAAAGATGGAAGCAGGGAGGACCCCGTGTCACTGCTCTGTGTTCCCCTCATTTCCTGGCCCCTGAGTGACTTCCTTCTCCAAGAGAGAAGAGAGCTGCCCTCCACTCTCCATTCCCAGACACACTGCTCTCCGTGTGTCCATCCTGAATCCTAGGAGGAGCTGGGGTGGGGGTGGGGCATCAGAGGCAAAGCCAGCCTGCCTTCAGAAGACTCAACTCCCTGGAGGCTCCAGGAACAGGTCCTGGGTGGGGAGGGGGCGGATGACACTTGGGCATCACACAGTGCCCCTGCCTCAGAAGGGTGTCCTCTTGTTTTCATATACCATTCTTGCTATTAAAAAAATCATTTTTTTTCAGGAGGCTGGACATCTCCACTTGTACTGCCTCCCCGTGCCCCAATAAGCTGGTTTGGGAGGGGAGCAGGGTTGCCAGTGTTCCATAGGTCTCAGGCACTGAAATTGAGGACCCCTCCTCTGGAGGGAGGGGGGGGACACAACACAGACAATTCCTTACAGCCCAGGTAGTCCTGCGCTTAGTTAAACTCTATCATAGGGAAAGAAGGCTTGGAGCATCTAAACTACCCATAGGTCTGTGGAGGGGTAGCCCAGTGCCCAGGCTCCTCCTCTTCTGAGTACTCCTCCCCCCTTTTTGTGCTTCCTGCATCCCCAGAGGCAGGGTATGAACTGGCCCTGTAGCCCAAGGGCCCACGCTTTGACTCCATCCCTAAGCTGTGTGACCTCTCCGGTCAAACTTATTTTATCATCTGTGAAACAAAGCTTAGAGTATCTATCTACCTTGGCAATCTCGAGATGAAAGCAAGTGTGGCGGTGTCAGGGCGTGGGTTTCCTACCCAACCAGAAGCAAATACCTGACCTACCATCCCCCAAGACCAGAGCACAGGAAAAATTAGGCACCAGCACTGTCTTCCCCATCCGATGAGACCTCAGGTGAAGGAGACTGCAGGGCAGGTCAGGCCAGGAGTCTGCCAAGGGTTCTGGCTGAGAAAGAGAGCCCCTATAGGCCTTCTGATCGTTAAAAACAGAGTTTGGCCCCATGCGGAGAGACAGCCCTCGCAACACAGGCTTCAAAGGTGGCAGAAGTCCCAGATGTGTGTGCTCAGACTCTGCATGTAGCATTTAAGTCCCCAGGAAAGACACCTGTGGCTATGGGCAAGGCCAGGTCCATTGTCTCCTAGAAAGAGACACACTGCTCCTCCCCGAATCGAAACGCTGTCCGGAAGTTCACCGGAGACCCCCCCGAATCGAAACGCTGTCCGGAAGTTCACCGGAGACCCCCAAAATCAGTTTATTTGCCTCCTTGTCCACTGTCCTCATTCCTCCGAGGTTTAAGGTGCTGGGGGGAAAGGGGCCCCTTCTCTGTGGGGAAGGGAAGAGCTGGGCCTTGAGAACTGAGCATGGACTACAGGGTGGAGGGATAAGGGAATGCGGAAGGACTCAATAATTGAAGGCCCTGGCTGGAAGCTTGTTAGAGGTCTTGAAGGAGTACCCCATCTAGTGTGCAGAAGGGGGCATGTGATTGCCAACGCCCAGTTCCCTGTAGAACCAGCCACACAGGAGGAATCTTCCAGAGAGCTGAGTTGGACCAAAAGACTGATCTATAAATCTCAGCACTCGTGGAATCCTCCTGCCCCACTCACACCTTTACTTGCAAGAAAGCCCCTAAGTGCCACCTGCCCTGGGAAGGCTTCTGGACATGTCTCCAGAGGGAAGAGCTCATTGGTGTGGCGCCTGTCTCCCTGGCATCCTAGTCTGAGCTCCTCGGGGATAGAGGTTTTGTCTCCTTTTGTCCGTCCTCTTTTCTCTGGTTGCTGGAATTTGCTAGAGATGGAGACCCACGGCTCCTGGGCACCCAGGCTCGCTCTTGGAGATTCAGAATAGCTTTTTGCACCATGTGCGCCACGCAGGCCATTTACTGAGAAAAGTGAGGGGATAATTTCCTGACCTTAATATGCAAGCTGAGATTTTCTCAGCGGTTAATGATCAAAGCGCTGCCCCTGCCTCCTTAGCCCCAGGACGGGGAGGCCGCCGGGCTTAGTAAATGGCTTTAGACATCATCTCAGCCTGGACCTCCGTAATTAAATTTTACATGTTAATCTGAAAGGAGTCATTTTGAAGGGTTTCCCGTCAGCCCAGCAGGGCTAATTTAGTGAAGCCAGGTCCAGGAAACAGAATGGCCGCCACCTGCAGGTCAGGCACAGGAAGTCAATTTATGCTAATGAGTGTGCTTGGCCTGCCTGAGGGGCATTGTGGGAATAACATGCGTCCTATTAATAGGTTGTGATTTTTTGAGGGGGTAGGGGGATTGGATCCGCCATGGTGTCCCAGGACCATATGCAGCACCACCTGCAGGCCTGCCTAGGTTGTTGCAGGCTGACTGATGACTTTCCTTCCCCATGGAACTATCAGACAGGTAGTCATGAGTGGTATCGCCAAATCTTGCCATTCCTGTGCCTCTGGCAGTATTAACTATGTTGAGAATCCTGTTGGGATATGGTCATTTCCTGCTGAAGCTTACTATTGTAGAGCTTTCTCTAGTTCTATGCTCCTTCCAGAAGCTCTTGGCTTGCTGTCATCAAACTCTGGGGTCACAACCTATGCCCCAAGCCAGGCCCAGTCGATCTACCCTGAATATGGCAACTAAAAGAGCCAAATTAGTAGTGCGAAGTAGAAAGGGCATATTTTTTCAATGTGACCACATTGGGAAGAGAAAACAGATCCAGAAAACCCCTCAAGTTTATCTTTGGTGTCTGGAAGTGAGATTTAAGTTTAAATGCAGGGGGGGGGGGAGAGGATATGCACAACACAGACCCGGCATTGTCTGGGTCTCAGTCTCATCCTGTAAGGTGGTTTGGCAAGTTGTTAGAACTGTGTGAAATCTCCTTCCGGTTCTCTCCTGGGTTGATGCCTTTTCCTTCTCCCAGCTTGAGATTCCTGGGGAAATCCCCACTTTGGGCGTGGGGTAGGGATGAGTACATTGTTCAGCAATCAGATTGAGAGGTTGCACTATCTCCGCTTCTGCCCAGCCCGTTATATTAGAGGCTGTCAGTTAGGGAGAGCAGAGAAAATTCTCGTTGGTGGAGTACCTGGGTGAGCTTCTACATGCAGCTGAGGACTAAATCAGCAATCTGGGGGTTCTGAGCTCTGTCAAATGCCTTCACCTCACCCACCCTCACCGGGGGACCGACTGGCTTTCCAGAAGTTCCCAGTGTAAGGCAAAGGGTGATCAGCCGGACACACCCACTCAGGGGCCTGCAGCAGGGAGGGGCACTCCCAGAACAAGATTTGATCTTTGTTGCAATTTAGCCAATGGGAAACCAAGTCCCAGGGAGCTTAAGGAGAGGGAGTCCAAAGGGAGGAGAGGGCTGAGGGATGGCGTGTGAGAGGCTCAGAGACCGCATTGGTTCACAGTGCTTCTGTGACAGGTGGAAGGCATTGGTTAGGTGCCATGGTCCCCCCCACTGTGTAGAAATGTCATGTTACAGGCAGCCTGCAGTTCTGAGGGAGCTATGGTGCTGCGGAGGGCAACCTGACTTTTAGGTTGGTGATGGGGAACTATACTCTAACTCCCACAGGAGATGCTTATGTCCCCCAAGTTGATAGAGTGCTTGCCTAAAATGCATAAAGACTTGGGTTTGATTCCCCACATCACATGAGCTAGGTATGATGATGCGTATTTGCAATCAAGGTCACCCCACTCTACACAGGGAGACCAGGGCATCTTAGGCTACATGAGACCCTGTCTCAGAGAGAGTTGTCGGGGAAATGAGTTCACAGAGTCCCTGGATGTGGTGGTTTGAAAGAAAATGTCCCCAAAGGGAGTGGCTCTATTAGGTGCTATGGCCTTGTTGGAGTAGGTGTGGTCTTGTAGGAGGAAGTGTGTCACTGTGGAAGCCGGCTCTGAGGTCTCATATATGCTGGAGCCACGCCCAGTGAGACAGTTCACCTCCTGTTGCCTGCAAGTTTCAGTCAGGGGACTATTTCTCCAGCACCATGTCACTATGTCACACCATGATGATAATGGACTAAACCTCTGAAATGTAAGCTGCCCCAACTAAATGTTTTTTTCCTTTATAAGAGTTGCCATGTCTCTTCACAGCAATAGAAACCCTAACTAAGACACTGGGCTTTAGGTATAAGAGCTTGAGGAATCCTAGGGATCTGAGTATAGCCAGGCAGGTCGGTACTGACACTCAGATGGCCTGGATGTGGGTGGCACAAGGAACTTCCTTGGAGGAAATGTCCTCTGGGACCAGAACATCCAGAGAGTTTATTGCATTTTTCATTATAAAGGATGCCTAGTGGCTGAGACATTCTGTCTTCTAAAACACTGGGATATCAACACACATTGGGGACAACGTAACAGGACAAAATGATTGACATAAAGAAGAGTCTTATAGAGAACGGGAAATTGCATCTGTGAGGTCCTAATGCCAGTGCATTCCCGCTCAACCCAAACGGATAGACAGTGCTACCCAGTTCACAAGCTTAGTGCAGGAAGGGGTCAGCCTCTGTGAGGTAGGGATTCGCCTGGAAGGCTGCAAGTGAACTCACCTGCTAGGCCAGAATAGGAAAGAAAAGTTTACTAAGGACATCATAAAGGGACTTCCAGCTGGGCAGCCACTTGTGTAGTCTATAGTGTAGAACAGTGGTTTGAGGGATGTCCTCTTAGTTAGGGTGCTCCTGAACAGTTTTCTGGCATGTCATTCACACCACGCAAAGGAGAACGGCTGAGACTGGCCGGCACACAGTCCCGAGAGGACAATGTAAGCTGTTTTCTCATGTCCCTCCCAGCCTTGTCTTTAGCTTTTTCTCAAGAAGATGTAGTGTTGAATCTGGGTGTGGCGGCATAGGCCTGTCATACCAGCATGCAGGAGGCTGAGGCTGGAGGACTCCAAGCCGTAAGCCAGCCTGGGGTACGTAGCAAGACTCTGCCTCAGGCCCCTGTCTTGATGAAACTTTGTGTCCTTGTACCCTTGTCTGTCTTGCTGGTTTTCTTCGGAACACAGAGGCGACGCTGGGGAAACTGCCAGAAAGTGGGTGCAGGTGCCGACTCTGCTGAGGCGTTTGTCACATCCTGTGGTAAGGGAGGGAAGGATTTCGCCTGTGAAACCACACAGAGCTTTTAACCATCTTGGCACCAGCAAAGAAGACATTCCAGAGACACTGTGCCCCACCCTCCCTTGAGCTAGCCGAGCATTGAGGAAACAATGGACCCCAGGGAATTAGAACATCCCAGAGTCTCATGCTGGACTAGGAGAAGGCTGAAGGCTGGTGCGGTCAGAGGGGAGGCTGGTAACCCAGGAAGAGATCTCCCACAGTCTGACAGCCACGCAGGACAGACTGGGGCTGAGAGGATGGGTCAGACATGGACAGGACCAGGACTGCTTAGCCACGCATACCTCTTGCCCTCTATTTAAACCCAAACCTCATGCCAGGACTCTGGAGATGAACTTGGGGAGTGATCACCGGACCACTTGGTTCTTCTCTCCAAGTGGCTGCAAGGAATAACCCTGCCTTTTTTGCTCCTCACTATGACTCTCCTGTTTAATTGGTCTACTGAGGACCAGTGCTGAGGCTAGCTTGTTAGAGCCCAGGTCAGACCCTGAAAGTTTTGTTTGTTGAACCAGTTGCTTAGTTTTTCACACACCAGGGGCCTGCGCTGCTGTCCTCTGCTCCAGGTTAACCCCTGCGTCCCAGCCACTCTTCATCTTCTTGGGGTCCCCCAATCTGGATTGAGACAGCACAGCTGCTGAAAACACTCTCTGCTTTCCGAAACAAACTGCTGCTTGCTTGTGTGTGTGTTGAAGCTCCTTGTATCCTTGATCGTCTCTACCCAATAAGGGGACACACTGTACCAGAAAGCATGTCCGTGGACCCGAATACGAAGACTGATTGATGGGGCATAGGGGGATGGCCCCGCAGGTGAGGGTGATGGCACTGCACACAAAGAAACTGAGTCTGAATCCCCAACTCCAGTGTAGAAAGCCTGGCATGGCTGTGCCTGCCTGTAACCTCAGCACTGGCGGGCAGAGACAAATGGATCCCAAGAGCTCCCTGGCCCCCTAGCCTCACTCAAACTGAGCTTCCAGTTCAGGGAGAGACTCAAGCTGAGAGGGATAAAGGAAGGTACCAGACATCCTGTTCTGGCCTCTCTGTATGCACGTGTGGGTTCGGCACCTGCTCATTCATATGCATGTATCACACATGTACCACACACGTACAACACACACACACACATACACACACACACACACACACACACACACACACACACACACACACACACACACACGGTGATTTCACACCAGAGTGGATAAAGGTTATGGACCTATGCCAGCTGTGGGTGTCTCTGCCCAGCACCCCTTCCGCAGTGCTGGCTATATTCCTGACCTCCAGTCCTGTATTTTTTTTTTGTTTTTTTTTTTGTTTGTTTGTTTGTTTTTACGAGACAGGGTTTCTCTGTTTTGGAGGCTGTCGGTCCAGCCTGGCCTCGAAGTCCTGTATTTGAAGGGACCTGGTTCCTCCTTGTCCACGAGCTAGCAGCTGGGTTTTTTCATACCGGGGTCTATACATCAGCCTTTCTTCCAGGCACCCACCAGCAGCAGGTCCTGGCATTCCATCCCATTCTTCCCCACCACAACCCCCATCAGCAAGGTGAGCTGTGCAAAAGCCTCCTGCCTGGGAAGAGGCTCCAGCTGTTGATGGTAGCTACCGCTGTCCCTGAATGGGAACCACCTGGCAGCAGAGGAACGCTTGGCTTTTCTTTATGGAGGTGGATCAGTTTAGCAGGGAAGTGACAGTTGCCGAATCCTCGGGGTAGCAGAGACGACAATTTACTTTCAAAAAGAGCTAAGAGGTTTGCAGTAGTTAACAGAGCATTCTAAACAACCATGGGTTTTATCCGTGTCCCAGAACCCCCGCCGCACACTGGTGTCACCTAGAAAGCTTTGGAAAAAAAGCCCCGTCTCTCACCAGGCACCGTTAATTGGTTTAGGGTGGGGGCTCCACTTCGGTTTTGAAAGCTCCCGGGCGATTCTCACGTGTAGTCAAGGTTAAGATTAAACCAGTGCTCTTCAGACTTCAGTGAGATCAAAGGCACCTGCGAGGCTGGGTTAAAACTGCAGGTTCCTCTGGGGGGGGGGGGCGCTGAGGCAGAGGGTTTGGGGAAGGAATGCAAGGATTTGCATTTCTAGTGGCTTGGTTGGTGCTGCCTTGCAAGCAGGAGGACCTGAGTCCCTGGCCTAGAATCCCTATAAAATAAATAAATAAGTCAAGCCTAGCAATGGGCGCTGATGGCTCAGTGGGTAAAAGCACTGACCTCAAACCGTTGTGACCTGAGTTCAATCCCGGGTGAAAGATAGAACAGCTTCCACAAAATTGTCCTCTGACCTCTACACTTACACATGTACTCATGTGCACACGCAAAATAATTTGCATTTCTGACATGGTCTGACCTGACCCCTGACCCCCTCCCTACCCTGCTTTAACTACAATGGATAAAGTAGGCATTAGTTGAGAAGGTTCTGCTGTCCCTGTGTCTTAAACACTGCTATGACAATCCTTAGGGATTACAGTGACTCTTGATTCCAGCAAATCTCTTTTCCATAGCATTTCTGCTTTCAAAGGAAGGCTACTTGGGGGTACTCAATATTTCATTTCTCTGCTAGCCTTGCAGGGGCTACCCTGCCTTCTTGGTCTGCTGAGCCTAAGGAGATCTCTGCCTGCCTGAATTTCACAAAAATAACAAGACATGAACACGTGTGTGTATCTATCTGTGTGTGTCTGTGTGTGTGTATCTATCTGTGTATGTGTGTGTCTGTGTAACAAGACTGTATAACAAGAGTCTGTATGACAAGAGTCTCTCTGTACCCCCAATTGAGCAGAACTCTTTGTTTTCTCCTTTCTGAAACAAGTCATCTCCTGGAAAGAAGGCTCCTGGTAGAAGGGATTTGCTTCAATGGACAACCATTCCCCCTCTGCACCCCACAAGTAGGCGAGGACACGCTGCTGGGGCAAGTAGCTGAGCCCTCCTCTCCCAACCTTGAGCACCGAAGGAATGATGTGCTAGGGTACCAGCCGGGCTTTGCTTGAATTACATCCTCAGAAGGCCTCTCTAGCTCTGCCCTCGGAGTTGATTGTGGGATCCCTGCTGCTGCAGGAGAGATGACACTCTAGGAGCCGGTCTGAATTTGCAAACAGACTCTCCAGGTGTCCAGATCCCAGGAGAATGGCAGGTACCCTTCTCATCCCACCCCCCACCAGGAAGCATACAGATCTCAGGTTGCCAGACTCAGACATCTGAGAACTACCGGTGGCCATTTGCACCCCCACCCTCACCTGGATAATGGGTACAGCTCAGTTAAATGTGTCTCCTTTTCTTACTTCCTCCCTTTCCTTGGAGTCCCATATTCCTTCCCCTGACACCCAGGAGTCAGGGACAGCTTGGATGAAGTCCTGTTGAGACCGCCCCCTTTCTCTCTAAGACCTATAAGAGCCTCCCAGTCTGCTTCATGGTTCTGAACTCTCAACACAGGCTATGTTGTCTGTCTGTCTGTCTGTATGTATGTATGTTCAGTCTTTGATGTATTAACTTAGCAACTTCTACAACCACAGATGCTGAGCTGTTATGGGGAGCCCAGCAGAGATGACCACTTAGACACAGTCTATAGCCAGGTTCAGGAAAGTTTTTATCCAGCTGGCAGGCTCTACACTCGAGTACTCGGGACCTAAGTGTAGCATCTAGTGTCTTCTACACAGGGTTTTCAAAGGCAAAAACCATCTCCTGGCATCTCCCTCTTGGCAGAAGCAGACAGTTTTACGGAAGCTACGATGAGTAGTTAGCTGGAGGGGAGGTTTGCACAAGTAGGCAGAAGCTAAAATAAATTAGTTAGGACATCCTGATGTTGGGTTCCTAGAATAGAGTTGGGAAAATTTTCCATGGGATTCTCCATCAAGGAGATCAAATTCTAGTTAATCCTGAAATGGCCTTGGCAAGGAGGAGGGACCTCTACACTGTCTTGCCCTGTCATGGAGCGTCATCAGATAGCATCTCAGACCTACCCTTGAGATGTCACTTCCTTCCCTGTAACCTACCCCTCTGGTGTTTCCATCCATATTTTTTTTAAAGTGCCTTGGTTTACGACTTTCTTTGTTCTGCCACCGTAAAACTTCATGAATGTGTTTCTACATTGGAACATGGAATTTGGGGTGATTCTACATTGGAACATGGAATTTGGGGTGATTCTACATTGGAACATGGAATTTGGGGTGACCTAAACCTGCATGCTCAGGCCATGGCCGCTCACGTTTGACTTCAGCATCAACTGTTCTCTTATTTATTTCCTTGAAGGTGAGGACGGTGTTTTTGTGTCTATGCTCTCTACCTTTCCAACCAACTCTGTGAGTTCTGCTTTCTCTCTTCCTGCTACGATTAACCAAGGTCAGCCTCTAGACTCCTCAAGAGACATCGTAAAGTTCCCCATGACTGGGTGACTGTTCAAAATCCTAGGTGGCATAAGCTTGGGTGAGACAGGGACAAGGAGGTAAGAAACCATGCCCAGGTCATCTGTATTGTCTTTGAGATAAAGGATAGTGGGAAGCTCAGAGAGTGGGGGGAGCCAGGCTGGAGGAAGAACAAGGGATAGGCCTAGGTCAGGGAGGAGGTGGCATGATGTGTCATAGACATCGTAGTACCCAAGAAGTCAGTGGATGACTGGGCCTTTCCACCAGGGCTTGTCAAGCACAGGGAACATTGTTTGTTAGTGGCGGGATGGTAGTGATGGTCCAGATTGCCTCTCTCTCTCCCTGTGCTATCTGGGGGATGACCTTTCCCCATTTCTAATGTAGCATAACCATCATATCGACAGGCGCTCCAGTGAGGCTAAGAGAGAGAGATGCCATCCCATCTTTCACAGAAGCTAAGACACTGCCAATTGCTAGCTGTGTTATTATTTTATGTAACCAGAAAGGGAGAAAAAAAACTACCAAATAAATTACAACATTGATTGCAAAAATGTGTCCAACTCTAGAAAATAGAAAAATATGAAGAAATGGTGTCTTTGAATCAATAATACACAGTAATGATAATAAAATACTAAACTCACTCTTATTTATGACATCCTTTGCCAAACTCTTTACTTCTGTCTCCTCCCAGAGCCCCTTAGGAGCCCTTCATGGAAGGGGATATTATGCCTCAGAAAAATCGAGGCTTAAACATTTGAGTAAATTGGTCTCTCGACTGGGGGCTGGGGGTATTGAACTCAGGATCTTTTGGCTTCTTTAGAGTGAGCTGATAAGCAAGTTGGAACAGAGGAAGGAAGCATCTCCTCTTACTGTAGTTTGTCAGAAATGAAGATGCTCAATAAACAATTGAAGGCAGAGACTGGTCCACACAGGACTCAGGTTTGGTTTCCAGCACTCACATGGCAGGTCACAACCATCTGTAACTCCTGTTCCATGGCATCTGAAACCCTCTTCTGATGACTCCAGGCTCATGTATGTACATGGTACCATACATGCACTCAGGCACACACACACACACACACACACACACACACACACACACACACACTTTTTCTTTTTTAAACTCATTTTTAAAAAATTTTGTTTTATTCAGGGTCCAGGTAGAAGGCTGTGCTGACTTACATTTTTTGTCATGTTGACACAGCCAGGGTCATCTGGGAAGAGGGAATCTTAATGGATAAAACACCTCCATCAGCCTGTAGGTAAGACTGTGGGGGCATTTTCTTGATTAATGATTGATATAGAAGCGTCCAGCCTACTGGCCTTGGTGCCACCTGTGGGCAGGTAGTTCAAGGATGTATAAGAAATCACACTGAGCAAGTCATGAAGAGCCAATAAGCAATGTTCACCCATGGCCTCTGCTTCTGTTCCTGCATCTCGGTTCCTGCCTTGAGTTTCCCAGCTCTGACTTCCCTCAGTGGTGAACTCTTTGTTACCAGGCAGTGTAACTAAAACAAACCCTTTCTTCCTCAGTCTGCTTTTGGTCATATTGTTCTATCACAGCTAAGATATGACCCAAGAATTCCATCTCTCCACACTAACCCAAAAGAAGTAAATACAATGCATACCCACCCAAGTCTACCATGCTGATGTCCGTTGGCATTTTATCGCTAAGAACCCTTGGTTTATCCAGACCCATACATTTCCGTAAGTCTTTCTGGAATTCTCCATGGCAACTCAAACTTGACTCACCTGAAGGAAAACCCTTTATCCCGTCCCGTCTCATGCCCGGAACTCTGGACCTCCCATGTGGGCCACCTGGGAGATTAGGCAGCTTTGTGCTGAGACACGTGGCTGAGAAACTCTAGCTGGCCATGCTAATGCCACATGTTAGCATGTGCACTTCTGCAGCAAGGGGGTGACCGGCCCCTTCTCCCATGCCCAGGACAGCATGGCTGATGTGATCCTCCCGAGTAGGGGGAAGGAAGGGACTCCCAGATCTTGGGGTCTCACCATCACTCGGGCATCTGAGTCTGCTGGACAGCATATTTGTGATGCTGTTTTGACTGCACCATCACAAGGACAACTGGACGCATTTGCATGAGCCTGAGGGAGTGTATTCATTTGCATTGCACTTGGCATCTTATTTGACCTCACAGTTTGAGGGTGTCTCGGTCCACTGTGGTAGAGAAGACATGGCCTTTGGGATCATGGGGCGGAGACTCTTCACAGGGTAGGGGATAGTGAAGCAGAGAGAGCAGTGGGAACAGAGAGCCAAACATCCCTAACTCTTAGCATCTTGCTGAGGACTTTCTGGTGGTCGTTTAGCTGTAGAGCGCCTGTGGGGGAGGGGCAGGGTGCAAGAGACGCTGCAATGAGAGTGAAGCCTCTGTGGTCTGCAAGGACTTCAAGCTATCAGACCGACAATACCATGTGGAAAGAGCTAGGTGGAGGTGTGTGCACACCCATTACCTCTTTAATTTAATCATCTAATTTAAGTGATAGCACATAAAAAGCTAATACTACAAGGTGTGACCCGCCTCGCGCTGACTGAGCAGAGCAGACGGCGCAGGAGAGGAACTTCCTGACGTGACAGCTACTGTCACATACACAAGGCCCGCTGGAGAGAGAGCTCTGATGCACAACATGCAATAGGCCCACCCCCAGTGACCCACCTACCGCCAGCCAGGCCCTACCCCTAAAGTTCCACAGCCTTCAAAACAAAACAAAACAACACCAAGTCTTCAAAATGTCTCCTGGGAGGGCATTCTGCGTTCAAACCACAATAGGAGGAGTCGTTCTTTCATATCCGGAACCTCCAATTGGATGTGGGAGAGCAAGCCACCTGTTCCCTCTCCTCTCCTCTTCCCAGATGCTGACCCTCTGCTTTGCATTTTGGCACCGTAACCACCACAGCTGTCTCTCCAGCGACCCCACCCTTGACCACTCTGGGTGACAGTAGCTCTAACACCAGGAAATTACTGTCCTTTGCCATCTGCTCAACTGCGTGAGCAGATCACACCTTGTGGTATTAGCCTTTTATTGAGATCGCTTAAATTTATATGATTAAGTTAAAGAGGTAATAGGTGTGCGCACCTTCATGGAGCTCTTTCCACGTGGTGTTGTCGGTCTGATAGCTTGAAGTCCTTGCAGACAGAAGCTTCACTCTCATCTTGTGTCTGCTGCAGCTGGCCCCCAGTAGAGGCTCCACAGCTAAATGACTCTCAGAAAGCCCTCTGCAAGACGGAAAGCGTTAAGAACGCTTGGAGCATGCTGGTGATGAATTCCGATGCTGCTGCTTCAGGTACTTCTGCGACACAGTCCTTGCTTCTGTAAATACACGGGAAGGCTCACCTTGTGTCCCATGCACATGGTGGGCACAATGCCCACTTCTGTCAGTTCATTTTAAGAAACTCTGGTTGACTCCCACATCCCCAACCCTTTCTCTGGAACATGCATGCAGCCAGAGCTCTAAGTTGGAGACGGATGAGCAGTCCAAATTCTGCTCTACTGGTGATCTAGCCAAGTCCCCATCATCTCTGAGACTCAAAATCTCTGTGTATGTATGAACACGATTGTGTGTGTGTGTGTGTGTGTGTGTGTGTGTGTGTGTGTGTGCGCGCGCGCGCGCATGCATGTTCATGTATGAGTGGGAATGTGTGCACGCCACATGTCAGAAGTCAACCTCAGGTGTGGGTCCTCATCCTCCACCTGGTTTGAGATGGCGTCTGTTGTACTCGGTTCTTTGCACACGGGGCTAGCTGGCTTGCAGGCTTCTGGAGTCCTCCTGCCATAGCAGCATTGGAGTTGTAGATGTGTAATCCATGCTACTGCGTCCAGCTTTATGCAGGTGATTCGTGCAGCAAGTGCTTTTACACCACCCATCCTCCCCAGCCCTCTTTCTCATGTGCAAAAGGAGAGGAAGGGAGCCCAATCCCGACACGCCCAGCACACCGCATCTTATCTCAGCACAGGGAACCGCATCACCAACAGGGTCCAGGGAGGTTCTTGGGTGTCAGATGTTGTTCACCAGCCAGCGTTTCCTCTACAAGAAAGCTGGGCAGAGGGCGAGCAGGGCTGGAATCAGTCATCAACCACAACACAGCTGTGACGGGGAGGCAGAGCTCCGTGCAGAAGCAATCTCCCTTTAGAATTCCAGGCTGGCCGTGTGTGCCTTGGATAAAGTTCAGGTAATCGTGCCTGCAGCCTGCCTCCTCCCTCCCTTGCTCTCCCCAGCTCTGAGCTGACAGAGTTATAATAATTGGGTGCCTCTGCTTAAGCTCATCAGCTCTGGCTTCCTGAAAGGAACGTGGCAATTAGCAGTCTTCACCCTGTAATAAAGCCTTTAATATCCACTTTCATGGTTCATATTACAGTCATTCAGGCCTGTCCCCTTGCACACGGCCTGTCAGGCAGCAGGGCTGTGGTGCCCACTAGGGAGCTGCCCCCACTGAATGGCTCAGTACACAATGGTTGAAGAGGCCCCAGCAATCCAGGCCAGGCAGCTGGGGAATAGGGCTGGAAATGAGAAGGGATATTTCTGCCCACGGAGGTTCCAGGGGAGCTCATGGGGGAGATGGGCAGGAGGCCGGGGATATGAGGCAGCATTCCTGCCTCTCCTGTGACTCTCCCACCATCCCACCAGCGCTCGGGGTCTTCTTACCATTGACTCACCACTCTAGAGTTCCCCTGCTGGACACTTCAGAAGCACAAGAAGATGGAGGTGGTGCTGGGGTTGGTGGTGGAAAGTTCTGGATGGAGGCTCTGCCTGTGTGTATACACCTGCTGGTTGGTTGCACACTTCCCAGAGGAGATGGCTTTGCTAAACAGCAGGTAGAGGGAGCATGCATGTTGTTGGGAGGGAGGCAGCTCCAACTAGCACCTCTGGACAAGGGGATGAAGGAAGAACAATCCATTCATGTCCATCTATACCACCGCCAACTTCTTGAACACTGTTCTAGGGACAATGTGCGGAGAGGTTTCTCCATGAACCTAATCAGGAGAAGTCAGTGCCCAGTCAGTGAAACCGTGAGTTCTGTGATATTTCAGACATATGATTAGTTTTGTTTGGATAAACAGAGAGGTAAAGAGTGGAGAGAAGGACTCTTGCATTTCTGAACGGCAAGATGTTCTGGTTTTGTTTTGTGTTGCTGTGGAAAAAAAAAACGCCCCCAACTAAGCAACTTTAAGGAAGGGTTTATTCAGCTTACAATTTCATGTTGCAGACCACCATTGCAGGGGTGTCAAGGCAGAAGTAGCTGGTCACATCTCCAGTCAAGAGCAGAGAGAGAGTGAATGCATGTGTGCCAGTTGGCACTCAGCTCTCTCACCTCAACGCAGTCTAAGCTCCCCTGCCTAGAGAATGGTGCCACCCACAGTGGGATCTACCCACATCAATGAACACCATCAAGACAATTCCCCATAGACATGTCCACTACAACCAGATCTAGACAGTCTCTCATTGAGATTCCCCAGGCGACGCTAGATTGTGTCCAGTTGACAACGGAAGGGGTTGCCAGGTCCAGAGATACAAAATAGGAGAAGCAATTGTAGGGGAGAACATGAGGAACATGGTACATGCGTGCGTGCGTGCGTGCGTGCGTGCGTGCGTGTGTGTGTGTGTGTGTGTGTGTGTGTGTGTGTGTGTTTTCTTCTTTTGGTTTTTCAAGACAGGGCTTCTCTGTGTAGCCCCGGCTGTCCTGGAACTCACTTTGTACATCAGGCTGGCCTCAAACTTAGAGATCTGCCTGCCTCTGCCTCGTAAATGCTGGGATTAAAAGTGTCTGTCACCACCAACTGACCTTTTTTAGTAGATAACTATGTCTTGTTGGTGGCTCAATTCACAAATCCTAGAACTCAAAAGAAAGGCTGGACACACTTAAAGGACAGATGTGAGATTTAACTAAACATCTGACTCATAAGGCTTAGAACATGGGACTTGAGGAGGCTCCAGAGCAAGTTTCTACAGGTTACCAGCATGTGAGGGTAGTGAACTGAAGGGGGATGGAGAGAAGCAATAGCGTGTGTGTGGGATAGGACAGCCAGAGATGGGACAAGAAGCCAAGAGCAGATCATTCAGGTTGGAGCGCCACCCTTGCATATGCAGTGTGAATTGCCAATATCAAGTTTCCAGTGTGTGCATTCAATAAAAGGAACAAGGGAGGCAAGTGGAGAAGTCAGTGCCTCTTTTCCTGGAAAAGAGTAAATCAGATATCTCCCACGCAGTAGAGAAAAGGGTTGGGATGTGGTGACCTAGGTGTGTGTCTTGTCTGAGGTGACCAGAATGTGCTAGACCTATGCTGTCACTCCTTTGCATTTGCTTTCTGTTGCTATGACCAAACATTTAAGGCTGAGTACGGTGGAAAGAAGGGAAGATTATTTAGACCACAATTTTGAAGGCTGAAAAGTTAAGATTGGGTATCCATATTGGTCCAGGCTCTGGTGAACCCCTACCACCCCTCTGCTGCCACAGCCGATACTTCCTGATTATATCATGGCTGAGGAAATCATGACAGGAGTGAGTTATAACCATGGTAGGAGTGCCTTTGAGAAGGACAGATCATATGGCCAGATTGGAGGGAGGAGGGAGGTTGCCTTTGTTCATTTACTGGTCCATCCATGCCCACAGCTGATTGACGAGTACCTGCTGTCATTCAGAAGAGTTCCTCCTCGGTTCCCTGCTCTAGGCACCCATCTCCTGTGGAAACATTTTATGATGGTTAATGTCAACTTGACAGGATCTATAATTGCCTGGGAGATAAACCTCTGGTATGTCTACAAATGATTATTAGACTGGCAGAACTATGAGAATGTGTACCATACCGCATGGGCAGCACCATCCCCCATGGGCAGCACCATCCTCTAGGCTGTGGTCTAGAAATGAATAATAAGAAGAGGAAATGAGCTGAGCAGCCTCTACTTTCTATTAGCAGATACAATGTAACTAGTCACCTTCATGACTAACTACAGTCTCAAACTGTGAGCCCCAAACAAACCCTTCCTTAAACTGCTTTTGTCAAATCAATGAGAGAAGCAACTCTTCCCATACACCTACTCACCAATTCCGTAGGCAACCCTCAATATCATTACATTGACACCCGAAACTAACATCACAGGTGACATTTGGTAGGTAAAGACTGTAAAGCTCATAGTAATAAAGGGGTTTTTGGTTTGAGGCTAAGAACAAGGGGTACACCGGAGAGCAGCCTCTCAGACTAGAATTCTCTGATGGTTTTAACTGTCAGTTTGTCACAGCCTACAATCACCTGGGAAGAGTCTCAACTGAGGAATTTTCTGGATCAGGTTGGCCTGTGGGCATGTCCATGGGGTGACTGTTGTTAATTGAGCCAGTCCACTATGGGCAGTGCCATTCTCTAGGCTGACCCTTGCACTGTGCAAGTGTGAGGCAAACTAGCTGGGCCAGCCAAGGTGCCTGTCTTTGCTCTTGACTGTGGATATAATGGTGGGCTTAAACTCCTTCCTCGTGGCTTCCCTGCTGTGATGGACCCTAATGTGGAATTGTTTTAACCTGCAATTGTAAGCCAAATAACCCCTAAGTTGCTTTTTGTCAGGATATTTGTCACATCAAGAGAAACGAAACTAGAACACTCCCAAATACCCCCAGAGCAGCAGAAAGGCAGATAGCTCCCCCACTAGGCTGTCCTGCTTTGGGGACGATGCTGAAGCCGGATCTCTCAGGCTTTCCCATGCTTCTTCCTCCAGCTGGGGACGATGTCCACTCTTCTCACTTCTGTGGTCACTGCTTCCCAGTCCAGCCCTCTACAACCCTGGCTCTCAAGCGGTAACCTGCTCACAGAGGTGGCAGTGAGCTGTGGAATGCAGGGGAGGGGGGCTGAGAAGAGTGGGTTGGTTTCGGGGGGGGAAGCAGAGGGCAAGAGGGAAGGACAAGGCTGTCTCCCCAGACCCCCTGCCAGCTTCTGCCTACCTGCCTAGCCCAGCACCATGGAACCAAAGCACATTAAGGGTAGACAGGCAGGTGCTCAGCGCCTCTAATGTCCCTAATGTGTTCCATTACAACCCTTCCACAATAAGGTAATTATGCGAGGAAATAATAAACGTGTCCGTCTTTCTGGAAATATTTTTACTTCCAGCAAGAGGGAAGCAGCGCCATTGTTTTCTGAGAGCATCTCCGCTCCTGTACATATTAATTAACTGTGCTCCGGCTCCAGCACCTCACGGCACTTGTATTATTCATAAATGTCTCGGGGATGCAGTAACTTATGTACTCCCCTCCTCGGCTTGAAATCGTTTTTTTAATTTCGAGTTCCTTTTTGACTAATTGCACTTGTGGTTTGTGCCTTCTGTGCCAAGGGCTCCACTCCCTAAACTGTACCTCACACACGTTTCCCCCCCCCCTTCCCTCCCATTGGGCTGTTATGAGGGGCTCTGACCTACAAGGTCTTTTTCCGGTCCGAAAAGATGCAAGTTGGGGCTCTGCGTGGGAGGAACATCTTAGAGCTGGCTCCTACCTTTTCTTCCCCTTCCCACCCTCCCTCCTTAGCCCTCCCACAGTGACTCCACCCTCCCCTTCCTCTCTCCACCTAGCATTTTTCTTTACATGAAAAGACTATGATTTCAAGCAGTTTGTGGGGGAAAAAACGACTGATGGGTAGGTACAGAGAGTTCCCATGCACTCCTCACCCCCACCTCAGCTGCCCCTGCTGTGAGTGTCTTGCATTTGTGTGGTATGCGGCAACAGGGCTAGGGTGATGGGCGACTTAGACAAAGCCCACAGTCTGCGTTAGGGTTGCTGTTGCTGTTATACACGCGGTGTCTGGACAAACGTCTGCTGTTCTGTGTTTGCCACCTAGAAACATCTCACTGCCCTGAAAACCCTTTGTTCCCCTCCGTCTATTCATCCTTCTCTCCCCGAGTCCGTGCCCTGACCTTCTAGCAAACAAGGATCTGTTTTCAGTCTCCATAGTCTTGCCTTCTCTAGAATGTTCTATAGTAGGAGTCAGATGGTGTGTGCCCTGCTCAGATCTCCTTGCATGTTTTTGGATTCAGGACTTAGTTCTTTTGTGTATGCAAGCTGCCCCACGACCAGGCTGTGAACTCCTCAGAGATACGGACCATGCCATCCCATGAACTTTTCCTGGCTCTGTCTGGAAATAGGCCACTGTGTACTGAGATGCCAGCGGTAAAGGCAAGGGCGGGTAGAGACCCCAATCCTCTCTGGTTGGTTTAACAAGGTGGTTTATAAGATCTGAGACTCTGAGGACAAACCCCCTGACCCCTAGGCTCTTAGCAGGTCTCTCTGTGCAGCAATTGCCAGCCCCAAGAGGGTGGTGGCAGGGCTGTCTTGCCTTCCCAGTGTCTGCTCTCATCTCAACGAGCCTGAGGTCCAAGGGGGGACGAGTAGTGGCATAGTGACATAGCACTTCCCAAAGAGACAGGGTGTGACATCTCTGGCCTGCAGGGAAGCCAGGGGGTTGATCATTGCAACCTAGCTTTCCCATGCGCAGCCCTATGGAGCTGGCCACTCTCTGCTCTGCATGGGTGAACCCAGGCGGCCCAGCCCTCCCTCACCCTTGCCCTGACCACTGCCTGGAAAGTCTGGAAAATGTGAGCTCCCTCACTGAGTCAGACCTTTGCTCTAGGATCCTGGACAGCAAAGAGAAAGCCAGAAGCAATGCATTCCCCATACTTAGCTGAGATTTCAGTCAAAGATGTGTCCAGTGGAGAATGTGAGACAAGAAGGCACCTGGCCATGGACTGGGCGTCCTGATTTCCTCTCCTGGAAGATCCTTCTGCTGCGTAACCTCTAGCCACCACGCAGAAAATGCTCCGTCAAGACTTTCTGACAAGCATGAATCTTTTACTCTCTCTAGTCTTATTGCTCTGTTTGCTTTGGGACAGAAATGCGGTTGCAGTTGACAACGGGCCGGAGAGCCAAGACATTCACATTTGCTGATGCAGGGGAAGCCGCTACACCAAGCATATCTGTGACACTCTGAGAGCCAGATGCCCAGGTGGGAGCCTTCTAGGGCAGTTCTCTAGCTACCCTGATACTTTGTTACTCCTCCTGTGTCAACATGGTTGGCTACAGTGCTGATTTAAAGCCGGGAAGAGGATTCTACCCCTATCCACTCAGGGCACAGATCCAAGGGACCAGTGCTCTGTAGGATGCAAAGCCCTCCCAGGGCAGCCTCTTCTCCAAGGCTCCGGTTTTCAGTTGCCATCTTTAGTTGTGCATAAGGAGTTCAGTTCTGAATAGTGGGCAGATGGGGGTGGATGCGAAGGCTTTGAACTTGGGGGGGGATCTCTTGGCCAGTGTCCCCAGAAGGGTCCACATCGAGGGACACAAGCCAGGGCAAACACAGTTCTTCTATACCAGGGGCACATAATGGTACCCTCCTTCTTCTTGGCCTGGGATGTCTGACTGTAGCTCATGGAGACTGGGATTACAAATGGGAAGGCTCCTTCAGGGACAGCACGCCTCTGGCCCAGCAACAGTGCAGCTGGGAGGAAAGACAGGTACCCCACCCCCAGCCCCCCAACACTGCTGTGCGCAACTCTGGCTGTGCTGTCGAAGCCGGCTCCAGCTGGTGCCCTCCTCTCTGGGCCTCCAGCCAGTCTCGCTGGTATCTCTGCGAGTCTGGAAAGGCGTGGGTGAAGGCTTGAGAATAGGAGGAAACTGAATAGCCCTCCTCAGAGCCCTCACTGCTAGCTACCCCAGCTCACTGGCAAGGTGAGGCCAGAGGCGTTTCCTCACTTGGATCCCGTTGGCCTCCAGTTCCAATCTGAGTGCTCTGCTTTTCTCGTTGTGAGTAGAAGTCACTCACGATCTTGGGGGCAGGTAGGCAAGTCCCTCGGGAATGAGCAGCAGCAGGCTGGGCAGCGGTCTGACTCGTCTGTCCTTGTCTGGTCTTCCGAGTCTTGCCTCTCAGCTTTGATGCTCTGAGTGCAAACTTCACACAGCCACATACGGGCTTTACGGGTGTCAGGCCATTTGGACACCTCAAGCTTCAGTCTTCGAATCTGCAAAGTGGGGTCAGCCAGCCAGCCTTGGGACCCTGGTCATGACCTTGACCTGACAGGTTGCTAGGCGAATGGGAGTGCCCGGAATCCAGCAGTGTCCTGCTGCCCTGGTCACTCTGGTTCCCAGGATGAGAGAACCCAGCCTCTTTGTCTTTTCAACCAGCTGGTGCGAGCTTCCTACCCCATCGCCCCCCTCTTTCCTTCTGCCTCTCTCCTTGCTCAGTATCGCCAGCTTTTGTGCACTTCAGAGTGGTGGAGGTCTGCAGCCAGTGTCATATTTTCATTCCATAAATACTTGACGGGTGGCTATTCCACCGGAAGGCTGTGTACTAGGCACGGGGCTTAGACCCAGGAGAAAGACAGGCGTGCATCTTACTCATGTCAAAATGATAGTCTGGTGGGGAAAGCTGGTGTTGAACAAGTGATTTCCAAAGCAAACAAAGGTTACCACCACCCAGCATGGGGCAGTAGGGCTGGCCAAAATAACCAGGAAATGGGAGCCCACCAAACAGAAGGCATGAGCCAGAGGAAGAGGGTGGGGGAGGGGTGCTGTCACAAATCCACAGTCGGCACCACCAGAAGCTGGAGGGGATGAGAACTATCTTCCTAGGGCTGGTGGACAGACACATCCCCCAAACAAGTTGCTCTGTTTTACAGAAGCAATTCCAAAGGCTGCCTTTTGGAGTCATGGAGTATGAGATCTGATGTCACCTTGCTGTTCTGTGACACTGAAGCGGTGACTCCACAAAAAGGAGGCCAGTGACATTTCTTCTTTTGTTTTCCTATCAAAAGAGAGCTATGTGGATAATCCAAGAAGAATTTCAAGCCATTAAAATATATATCCGAAAGGGAGAGGCCAAAACACAACCTGCTTTGACCTTGGCTCAACTTTATCAGCAGATCCGAGGGGTGGCCGTCCACTCTGTGCGCAATGCTTAAACTGCGTGCGATGTTTAAAGCGGCTCCCGGTCGCCTAGGATATGTTCAGAACTCTTGGGCGATAAACAACTCCTTCCGCGAAGCCAGAAGTCATCAGGTCAGGAACAGCTGCAGCCCATCGGAGGCTCTCTCTGTCAGATTGTTCCTGGAAATGAAAAAAGGATGTCAAAGTCAAGAATTGTAGAATAAACTGCTGACTCCCCGCCTGCCCCTCAGGGACAATTGCTGGTTTGAGAAACCCATGTTTAGAGTGTGAAGCAAGCTATTCGATATGCAGTTTCCAGGAGAATAGTAAATAGACGTCGTAAGATGGAAGAGGCAGAATGCCCGTCTTTACTCACGGACTAGTAATAACGACGGCCAACAGGTTGGCACAGTGCCACATAAAATCCCATCGGGGGATGGGGCAGGATCTGTTCAATTGTTACATCCTGTATTTGTTTGATTTCCTGGTGCCATGATAAAACACTGATCAAAAGCAACTTGGACCAGAAAACTGTTTATTTGGCTTACAGGTTAGAGTCCCTCTTCAAGGGACGTCAGGGCAGGAACTCAAGGCAGGGTCCTGGAGGCAGGAACGGAAGCAGAGACCCTGGGGATCACTGAATGGCTTGCGCCCCGTGGTTTGCTCAGCATCCTCCTTCTACAGCCCAGGACCACCTGCCCAGGGGTGGCACCACCCACAGTGGGGTGGACCCTCCACATCAATTGTTAATCAAGAAAACGTCCCCACAGACATGTCCTCTCCCAGGTAGCTCTAGTTTGTGTCAAGTTGACAAAAAAAAAAAAATATCCACACGAACTCTAATCCCCAGAGGCCAGGAGAGGGAATGCCACCACTAATCATAGGGTATATTCTAGGAAGTGGCTGGTGCTGCTGGGTGGAATGCCCCAGGGTGACCCTCCAGGACATCTTCCTGTGTGTAACTTCCTGGAAGCCATGGAGAGTAGGAGGCTGTGGATAGGGTCTACTCAGGCCACTTGAGGAGTAGAGGGGACTGCAGAGAGGGGAGGTGGCGATAAATGGGACTCAATGCCACCTTCATTCACGCCTGTCTTCATGGCTTGACACTTGAAAACCCTTCTATTGCCTGGTTTTGGGAATGCCAGGCAAGCCCCCTATCAACTGAGCTACACCCAAGTGCAGCGTTTTCTTCTTTTAAAATACTTTCATGAAACAGCTTCATAAACCCACACACCATGGCTGGGAGCCCCAGTATTAGAGTTGGACATCCTTGGGCAGACAGTCCTGCTCTGTGGGTCCCTGGACAAGTTACTCATTCTTTCTGCATCTTAGTTCTCTCTAGAGCAGTGGTCCTCAGCCTATGGGTCACAACTCTCTTGGGGGGTCAAATGACCCTTTCGTAGGGGTCACCTAAGATCATCAGAAAACACAGATATTTAAATTAAAATTCATAACAGTAGCAAAATTGCAGTTATGAAGTATCAACAAAAATAATTTTATGGTTGGGGGTTATCACAACATGGGGAAGGGTTGCAGCTTTAGGAAGGTTGAGAACCATTGGCCTAGAGTGAAATAAACATAATGACATCATCGTCACTGAAGAGTTAAGAGAGGGTGATCAGTGGAGGGATAAAGGGGCTTGCTGCCAAATTGCCCAGTTTGATCCATGGGACCCTCACGGTGAAAGGAGAGAACTGAGATCAGCAAGTTGTCCTCAGACCACCACATGCCGGAACCACCACAGCAAACATGCACCCCTCCCCCACATAAATAAACACGTGCATTTTTTTTAAAGGAAGAGGTAGGAAAAATCAATGCCATTATAGTGTTCACAGGACAGAACAAATGAAAACCCCGATCCCCATCTCTCATGGCAGCGTATATCTAAAACGAAGGTGAGTGAAACGCATCACAAAGTTACCATTTGGTGACGTTTGCATCTAAGACGCAGCATAGAAAAATGCTTCCCATCCCCAAGATGTTTCATTATAGAAATGCAAATTGTCCAAAAGTTGAAAAAGATCTTAAATCCTCTGGTTCCAATGTTAAAGACCACCCAGCCAGCCCCTGTCTGTCCCTTGCTGTATGCCTTTCAATACCCATTTTTAAGGCTCTTCCTGCCACTGTCAACTACACTCTGACCCAAGCCGGTTTGTTCCACCTTTGCCCCCCCTCCCTTGTGCTGTGTAGGAGCATTTTCTGTACCTTCAATGTGCTGGTCTAGGGCAGCCAAGTCCATGAGTGGCAATTAATGTACAGAGTAGGAAGCCTCCCCCAGACCTCCCCCAGAGCCTTGGAAGCTGGGAGGGGTCCTTCCAAGGCTTGACAGGGAATGTGCTCTGGTTGAATGGGGAGAAATGACTCAGCCTGCACAGGGAGAGGGGTTTCAGCACAGGTAACTGATACAGGGCTCTCTCTCTCTCTCTCTCTCTCTCTCTCTCTCTCTCTCTCTCTCTCTCTCTCTCTTTCTCTCTCTCTCTCTGTGTGTGTGTGTGTGTGTCCATGTGGGTATGCAGATGCATGTGTAGGTGTATGGAGGTCAGAGGTCAATGTCAGATAGCTTCCTCTCTTGTTCTTTATTATTTATTTAAAGAACCTGGGGTTTATTGATTTAACTAAGCTGGCCGGCCAATGAGCTCCAGTGTTCTGCTTGTCTTCCTGACCCCTGACCCTCACAGTGCTGGGGTTACAAGTCCACACCGCTGCTTGTGCTGGGGATCCTGACTCAGGTCCCCAGGCTTCTGCAAAATATGGCCCCTTTTCAGTTTCCTTAGCCTCGTGTGTGTGTGTGTGTGTGTGTGTGTGTGTGTGTGTGTGTGTGTGTACACATACATCTAGAGACAAAAGGAAGTGAGGTGGAGAGGGGGCGGATGACTGAGAACTCACAAGCACATAAGGTATGAGGAAGAGAGAGGGAGACTTCACAGATTTTAAATATAGGAGTATAAATATTTGAAAATCTGCGGAGCTGTGCATGTGGGAAGATCGTGCTTACGGAGTCAGGTCCCAGGAAGCGACATCCTCATTCTCTCCTGAAATGCTGCGAAAAGAGGGCTGTGCTTGTAAGGACTTTCTAGGTCTGTCTGTCTGCCTGCCTGCCTTTCTCTCTCTCTCTCTCTCTCTCTCTCTCTCTCTCTCTCTCTCTCTCTCTCTCTCTCTCTCTCTCTCTCACACACACACACACACACACACTCTGGATAGAGGGAAGCCACACATAGAGTAGACACAGGCATGGGTGCACAAATACTCTTAAAAGCATGTACAAATGAGCCATTGAGATGCTCAGAGGGTGAGGTCTTGGCTGTATGAGCCTGATGATCCAAGCTTGATCTCCAGAACCCACATCGAAAGCTGGGTGTGACGGTATACATCTGTAACACAGTACTTCTACTGGGAGATAGAGCCTGAAACAGGAAGGTCATGGGCCAGCTAAGTTGAAATATACAGTGTAATAAAAACAGCAAGATGGTCTTGCCTCAATAAGGAGGAAGAAGAAAACCAACTCTGGAAAGCTGTCCGTTCTCCACAGGTATGCCAGGGAGTGTGTGCCTTACATATGCTACATGCATACATACTACTAATAAGAAGTATACACAAGTTTCCACTTTGTAAAAATCCATGCATCACCCATAGATGTGTAAGCGCTAGTGTATGAAGACACAGCCATGAGCAAGACCCCATCCCCCCTCTCTTAAGGGTGCCTGGAGCCAGCTGATGGTCGTAACTGAGACATAAGCCCCTATATATGAAGCCACAGTGTTGGGGGTGCTGTTGAGGCTGCATGCTCAGGCGGCTAGGCTTCATCAAAAGATGCCATGAAGGATTACCAGCTCCTGTCATGTGTCACATCACAGACCCACAGAAGATAATGTGTAGGTTGGTGAATCAACGGCTGTCCTGTTAAGTAGCAACAAGGAGAAGATGGCTTTAGGAAAGGTCCTTCCATGCAGGAGGATTGAAACCCTCAAGGGATAGCCAGGCCACTTGCGGGCCTTGAACTTCCAGGGCTGGCATGGGGGGGTTGTGGTGGCAGGAGATGCCAGCCTGTAGCTTGGAAGGTCAATGTTCTGATAAGCTTTAGAAATTTGATGTCCATCCCTGTGTCTCCCTAGGGATGGAACTTACTCTCCCTCAATCCTGGAGTAAGCTGCCCCTGCTCACCCCCCAAATGATCTGCAGACTATAATACCTGCTGCAATGTTCTCTGGTTTTGGCAATAAGGATCAAGACTGTACCAGCAATTCCCGTTAAACCCCATATAACCACCTCCCCCCCCCCCCCCTCACTGTGAGCATTCTCAGACAATAAAAGCAGAGCCCCAACAGTTTCTAACCAGGCTCCTCCCACCCTACTGAATGGTCAAGAGTTGAATGGTGCCAGGCTGTGACAGGTGCTGTGGGTGCCTGTCCATACTCCCAGACCTTACCTTCAGCCATGCAGGGAGTTGCAATCCATCCTGAGCTATGCAAGACCCTGTTTCAAAAGAAAAAATAAAGACAGAGACTTATTAGTTATGAATGCTCAGCCTTAGCTCATGCTTGTCCCACTAGCTCTAAAACTTAATTTAACCTGTTTCTCATCATCTACGTTTTACCTCGGGGTTTTTAACCTTTCTTTCATCCCGTATGTCCTACTTTCCTGCTTCCTCTGTGTCTGGCTGGCTGGTGGCGTCTCCCTTTCTTCCTAGTTCTCTTCTCTTGAGCCTAGATTCTTCCTCCCACTTGTTCTCTCTCCCTGCCAGCCCCACCTATCCCTCTACTGCCTAGTTATTGGCCAGTTCAGCTTTTTATTAGACCAATCAGGTGCCTTAGGCAGGCAAACTAAAACAGCAACATATCCTTATATAATTAAACAAGCTCAGCACAAACAAATGTAACACATCTTTGCAAAGTTAAATAAGTGAAGCACAAACAATGTAACACACATTTAAAAAATGAAGCATAAACCAGTGTAACACATGTTTCCATAGTTAAAGTAATATTCCACAACACATCTGTATGGCCCAGTTTTTCTATACCCAGCTGCCTTTTTATCATATTTAATTTCAATTTTGGGAGCTGGTTAGTATCCAAAAGAATGCCTACCACACAGATGTGACCTTTGAGTCCCACCTCTGCCACCTCCAGGCTCCATGGACGAGATGTGAGCAGCCAGCCTCTAGCCAGGATCTAAGCTCCTTAGCCAGCTGAAGGCTTTCCCCAAATGCACAGGCTGGGGGAGTACCCTGTTCCCAGGCAACCCTGTACCAGTGTCTCCCACGGGCAGGCGTCTAGATACCTCCAGATAGGGCAACCACAACCTGTTCCAGAATTTACCAAGCAGTGTCCCCTTGGGGGCAGCTCCAACCCTTCCTTCTACCCTTTCCTCATGCCACTTCTCCCCACCATAGTCCCTCTTTCTTCTAACTAAAGTTACAAGTGTAACTGCCCCATAGCCAAAGGGAAGGCTACAAATGCATTTCTTTGGAATAGTTTCACTTTTGCCAAGATGCTACATAAGCACCTGGGTCCTTTGGTC